TGGATCAACACAATTTTTTTATGAGAAATAATATTTATATCCCTCTTTCATTCGACATATTTTATTTTAATCAGGATAGTAATAAGGAACTAGCAAATCATGTAGCTTTTGGAATAATCCACCAATTTTTTATAATTAAACACTATCTAAAGATTTGCATAAAAGCGTTTTTTGTGATAATGATCTTAATCACTGTCAGATATCATTTTACTTGATTCAACTATGCTACGTCATCACTGTGTTGGGTTTTTTTTTTACTTGTATGTTCTAAGCCATAATTTAATTGTTTTTTTATTTTTTTGATTTATTTATTCATCTGGATTTCTAGAGCGTTTTCTCGTTATATCTTTGGGATATGTTTCTTTTTAAAAAAACATTAGATTCCAGTCTATTATAAAAAATAAAATATTTTATACTATATAATTATTTTTAATTAGTTGTTTAGTTAAATATTAATAATTTTAATAGTTATTTTAATAAATATTATCAATCAATTTATTTATTTTTTAAAAGTAAATATGATTATTACTATATGATAATTACCAACTATAAAACAGTTTATTATTATATTTTTACACGAGAAGTACTTAATTTTTAACTAATTCATAAACTAATGATTGAAAAAATATCTTATTATAAATAAATAGAATATTCCAGATATTCAACTTATTTCAATAATTTTTTAATTAATAAATTCAAATTAATAAATTATTTTAATAATTTATAGGGAATAATCTGTAAATAATTGGCGCAATTATTATTTTAAATTTAAGAGTGTTTCGGTTCCAAAGGCTAAAAAAAATGTTTTTTTATTCATTGATGTAACTTTTCTGAAAAGATTATAAATAAATTGTACTAATAATTATAATATAACTAATAATATTATACAATAAAGCTAATAGTATTAGCTGTAAAAATCCATTTTAACAATTGTTATTAAGACAATTTACGCAATTTTTGATTTATAACCTTAAAACATAATGATGCACAAGCAAATTGAGAATAAATTATAGCTGTGTTAAACAAAACGTTTATGACTCTTTTAATAAAAAAAATCAGTTTAGCTGTGATTTAGATGCAAATGAGCAAATGTGAAGTATATATATTATTATACCTCTTCTTTTTTTAATTTACGATTGTAATAAATACACTTATTATATATTTTTTTGTTGGAAAAAATGTTGGGGAGCAATCATTCTTCCTTCATCGTAAAACGTCTTCATTTATTACAACCTTTAAAAAATTACAATACTTCATAGATATACAAAATCAAGATATATAATGAAAAAAATAGTTGTAACTAATATTCATATCTAAAATTATATAACACTTATAGTATTTCAATATTAGTTTAAATTTACAAAGAGTATAAACTACAATAACAAAATTCACTTTTAGACTCATTACATACGTATATATAAAAATAATTTTCATTTTATAATAGTATTATTCAAAATTAACTTGTTTGATATTATTCCGAATATCAAATTATAATGATTTATTCATATTTAAACAAATATAAAGGAACCAATTTCATGTGTATCATATTAATAATTTTAGCTTCGATATGTATCTGGGAAGCTATTGATTTTATTTGTTCTGTTTTATTTTTTATGTCACTGGACTCTATTACTCTACTTCTATTAGATGGATTTTACTGATGATATGTCAAAGATCACAAAACGTATCTAATTGAAGTTATTAATGCTATTATTTTTAAAATTCCTCTCATTCGCCACAACGAAAAGAATGTCTTAAAAAATTACAATTGTTAATATTGATATTTTTAGTTTTCACTTTATTTATTTTAAAATAACATTTTTAAAAATGAACATATTACTGGAGAATATTTTGAGTACATAAAATATTTATCTTACCGGTGTCGTAGTTTTTTTTTTAAATCTAATCATTTACCAATTTAATGCAGAACCATAAAAATCGTATAAATTTTTTTTTCCATTTTCAGGAATATTCCAAAAAATCGATCATTTTAAAATTTACATCAAATTAAAACTAATACAATGCCTTTTAAGATAAAAAAAAAACTATTCAAAAACTTATAATTAATGAATCAATTAAAAATCGTACAATTTTTGGTCAAAATACAAATTTAAAAGTGTATTAACTCCACATTACTGGATCACTATTGTACTTGACTTTTTTATTATATATCTCTTAGAAATTAATGAATTAAAGGGTATTTGCCATTATTCAATTCACGTGATACTATTATCATGTTCAGTTAAGGAAAAAGTTATATAAATTATACTAATACCAATAACTTATTTTTTTATTTATATTTAAAAAAAATTTTAAGATTAAAAGTTTAATCTTAAATTTAAGAATATTTTACATTTTTATAAAAATAACTTGTTTTTAATAAATATATGTTTAAAAAAAATAAAATTATAGAATGATAAATGTATTAAATTGTAAGTTATTATTTTTAATAAAACATTTTGAATAGATTTTTAAAGTTATTTATATTAATAAACATTTGTTATAATTTTAAATCATGTTTCGTAAAAAAAATATGACAAAAGGTCTCAGGGACAGTCTACACAAATGGTATACACGTGATTTAACACGAGGTTGAACACGTAATTTTACACGTGATTTAACACGTGATTATCGATTCTCCATCCTCAATGTGTTAAATAAATGTCTTATTCTGAATATATGTATAAATAAATAAATAAAATAATTCTATTAGCTCAAGAAAAATATTAAAATAATAAAAATCTCCGAGATAAATTTTACACGAGTTACTTATAAATAAAAATAAATTATAAATTACATTTTGATAATTTTTGTTTTAAAGATATATAATTAAAAAAATTGATTTTAATTAAAATGTTATATTAGAACTAATATTTTTTAAAGAATTAACACCAATTCTAATGATCAGATTTTAAAAGTTAAAATTTACAATTAAATACGAATGTCATACAGGTGTTTAGTAAGTAAGGAATTGTTACAAACAATGAGAACAATAGATATACGTTTCCTTACTTACTGATCACTCTACATATCGTATTATAAAATCATGATTCTTTTACACGTATAAAATAATGATCTTAAGAATTTTGAAGCTCTTCAACAAAAAAAAAAAAGCGCGAGATCAAAATCTCGCCGTCGCGGTTGAGTTCCTCATCTATTAACATAAACCATTCAAATACTCGCAAAATAAATACAATATTAAAAAAAAGTTATTGGTGATTTTTTGTTACATATATTTCTTGATTAATCAAACTTAATTAATTTTTAACTTTAACCTTTATAAATTATAAACTTTTTCATTTTAAGACAATTGCTATATTTTACTACCACATAATATAAAAAATACGGATCGTTAACCAAATTTTTACATTGTTATTATATCATGTATAAAAATGATTGATATAAACTTGATTCATCGTATTATATATCCAAAAAGATATTATTACTAATTAAATAATAACAAAGCTAAACATAAACTATATAATAAGTACAAATGTATATTGAATAAAATGTTTAGCTTAACAGAGATATTTAAATTTTACGTTAACTTAATTCCTTTTTTTGTTCAATGATATAATATCAATTTAATTAATAAAATAAAAATTACAAATTAACTTTAGCTATTGACCCATTAGCGAATTTTTAGCGAATTAAAAAAAAACATTAAATTGCCTATAATAGGATAATAATAATATTATTATATGCGTTTTACACTTCAACTAGGTTCTCATATAAAGGACAATAATTTCCATGGCATTGTTCCTATAATTAATATATAGATTGAACAGATTACATTGTCTTCTATTCTATGTAAAATAAACGCAAAACTAAAACTTTCATAAACTGTAGAATTCTCTAGAGATTAAATTACAACACAAGAACTAAGACATTTTTCTGTACAAAATAGTAATCTTTAAACTTATAAAATAATTTGTTATAATTTTTATACTTTTTTTTTCATAAATTTATTAGTTTCATATATTTTATTATAATTATTATATTACTAAAATATAAACATCGTAATAAATAAATCAAGCACAATGACGACACGGCATATCTGGGATAAGCATAAATGATATCTGACAGTAATTCACTATTATCAAAAACTTTTCAATGCGAATCTGATTAATTTCACAATAATTTGTACATTAGTTATACAATTGCTTACAATATTTTAAAATTGTTATACACTTTAAAAACTATAATTTGATTTAAGATAAAAATTATCAGACGTTTGAAAATATTTTTAAAACTTAAGTCAAAAAAAAAAAATTACATGCATGCGTGATCTTTCAAACGTATGCTGTACTAAGGTCATTAATTAAATTTTCATATAAAATATTTAAATAGAAAACTTATTGTCACTTGTAAATTCAATTTAAATTTCATCAGTATATACTGATGAAATTTAATATAATTAAAAATAATGTATAGCAATTTTAAATGCAAAATAAACATTGAAAACGACATATTTTACGGTACCATAATTTTGATATATTTTTTTATTTAAACTTAATATTAAGGGTTTTTTCAAATTTTTGGCTCTGATAATTTCAACTATATTAAATATAGATTTTTTGACACATAAATCAACAAAATTGGTTAAATGAGAGCTAAGAATTTTCAAAAATTTATTTAATGTACAGACACAAATAAAAAATTTGTCTTAGAAAATTAATACATTCTCGGTTTTGCATCAAGGCTAAAAAATACAGGAAAGTAATCGCTGTTATTGGATTTGTCAAAACATTTGGGACTACTCTTTATATAAGTTTTTATATTATTATTATATATCTTAATTAAGATTGTTAATAGCATGAATAAATCGTCTGTAACATTATAAAAGTCCATTATTATTATTATAGAAATTACAACCTCGAAATATTAGTCTATTATTACACATTTCATAAATAAAGTAAATAAAAAAACAGTTTTAATTATTTAAAAATTATTTTAAGTACATTTCAGAAGTATATAAACCTAAGATCAATCTACGTAGTTTAACTATTTTTTCTAATAAATGTAAACAATGTTGCTATTAAAGTATTACACGTTTGTTGCATTATGTTGTATTATATTGACTGATGTAATTTCTGGATGTTGTATTAATTTTGGCAGCTCATCTTCGGTAAGAAAATATAAAACGATTTAATAATTAATTTTATCATTGTTTTATTTATTTGTGACATATATAATTAAATAAAAATTTATTATAATTTTTTACACTTTATATAGAAAAAATTGATATAAACATATTTTTAAAATTTACTGTAAAGAATTCTTTAAAATTGTGGTATGTTTTGTGTTGGGTCACAAATTACTTTTCAAGCAGTGGAGGGTCTTCATTTTTCTGGCCAAAATGTGAAAATAAAATAAATATCAGAGTTTTACTCTACATATAACATAAAATAAATATGTTTTTTATAAATAAAATATCAAAAATAATATAAACAAGATTTTGTGCTCAGAGTTAAAATTTTGTTTAGATCTAATGTACTAAATTTTAAATTCAAATAAAAATTTAATTTTTTAATCTATAAAAAATTTTTTCTTTAAATTATAAAGCTATAGCATAGGTAAAAAAAATATTTTTATTACAAAAAAAATATGAACGTGGTGTGGCTCAAATCATTAAATTAAAAAATGATGATAATTTTTTTACAAAATAAAAAATGAAATAAATAAGTATTTACAATGTACACTAAATTATGATTAACTAATGAGAGTCAGTAAAATCGATCTTTGCTTTCTTTTTTTACAATAATTTATTCATAAAAATTATAACACCAAATTATTGAATATCAATTTCATACTAAATTTGTGTTTTATTCTTATAAATCATAAAATTTACAATTAGGATATAATTATTGAAGTAGAAGTTGATGTTTCTTTTGGAATAATTTAACCAACCCTTCTAATAATTATAACTGTTTACATATTTGAATTGAAACGTTTTTTATTATAATGATTAATATCACTGTCAGATATTATATACACGTGTTCTAACTAGTACGCATCCAAACTATGCCGCGACCCTACATGTTTGTTTGTTTTATAAACTTAAGGAAAAATCAACTTTAAATTACCGAAATAGTAGGTTGAATATCACATTTGGGATAGAAATTTTGTATGAATTATTGTTATCATATTAATAATCAAATTCAATAATAATTTGAAAAAAAATTCGTTTTTAATTATTTTTTTATATGTAAACACTCGTTTTTATTTATTGGTAATTATCTCAAAAACTATAGGAAATATAAAAATATATAATTCCAAATTTGAAATCATTACGAAGAATCGCTATAGAACAGTACATTTTATCTTTGATGAATATTCTCAGTACACCATTACTATAGGTGTCATTGTGTTAACAAAATATTTGGTCTTAGTAACTTAAGCAACTTAATAATGACAGTATAATTTTTTTATCAAAAATTATTAGTGGCCTAATAAATATATTAACTAAAGAAGTTTTATTTTTAAAATAATGTACATTTTATCATATTTAGAGTGTTCAATAAGAAACGAAATGGGTTTCTATTGTTCTTATTGTTTGTAACAATTAACCTGATTGCTTACTTTTTAAACATTCTGTATATTAGCTTCGATGCGAAGCTAAGAAGGTATTAATTTTACTATAATGTGTTTTTTTTTTGTCTGTTACCACTTTTTCTTAGCTCTCACTAAACCGATTTCTTTCAATAATACGTCAAAAGATCACAAATCGTATCTAGTCAAAGACTTTACCATTAAAAATTGAAAAAATTTCCCTCGTTCCTCATAAATTGGAGAAATCTCCAAAAAAATTACAAATTTAAAAATCGCTAATTTTCGAAATTTTTTCAATTTTTTTTACTTAAAACTGCCATAACTTTTTCAAAAATGAACAAATCAATAAAATTTTTTTTTATAGATGCTTGATGTCTTTATATATCATTTGGTATATATTTTTTATAAATCTAACCCTTTACCAGCCCACGAGGGTCGATTCAAAATGACAACTTTTTCATAAAAAATTAACTTTTGAAAGTGTTCCGGAAATACTGTCACTTTTATATATATCTTATATTAAAGTTAATGTAATATACTTTATTATGCAAAAAAAAAAAAATTGGTATTATTTTATTTGGTTGATACAATAATTTTAACCCCCCGCGTTAAAGTCATTGATAAGTTCTTATTTAATTCTTCGTAATTTTACATTGTTATTCATTAAGTCTTACAAATTATACTAATGATAAATTTTCTTACCACTTCTATAACGACATTATAATGTTCATTATAATTAATCAAGTATATGCATTCTTCATTTTCATCTTCGTTTGTCACTAAATTTTTGCTAATGTAGTACCATCCATCCACAGGATATAAAGTGTAAATATATATTGAAAATTTTCGGACTTTACTTTGTCTTGTCGGTGAAAATGGCTACCGTATGTTAATTATTTGTTAAAATTCTTGATTTTTTATTTTACATTTTTAACTTTAAAATGTTATAACTTTTTGAAAAATGTATGGATTAATACAATTTTTTTATAAGAAATAATATTTATATACTTCTTTCATTCGACATACTTTTTTTTTAAATCGAACCATTTCCCTTTATACAGGGGGGGGGGTTCGAAACATAAAAATACATATAAAAAGTAGAACCTTTTCAACTTAATTTTTGAAAGTGTTTCGGAAATACTGACACTTTTATATATATCTTAAATTAAAGCTTATGTAATATACTTTAATATTAAAAAAAAAAAATTTGAACTTTATTTTGTGTTCATGGTGATAATAGCTGTATATAATAACTGTATTCAAAAATATGCTATTTTTGTGTTAAAATCCTTGGTTTTTTATTTTATTTTATTATAAGGGGATTACACTGATTTTCATAAATATTATATCAATCTAATTGACATAGTATAAAAAGTTAAACATACTTAAGTTTTTTTGTTTCTTTGAAGTCGAGAAAAATAACTTTAAAATTAGAACTAACTAAATTTCCATTTTTATTAAGTGACGAATGCGACGTACGGTTTTTGAAACGGTATCACTTGGGTCTTTCACGCCTGTGGCACTGAATTTTTTCTTAATTCTTTTTGAGTTAGAAAAAAATGTATAACTCACTTGATTTTTATCTCATTTAGATTTAATAATTTCAATAAATACCATTACTGTAGTCTTCTCTCATGAGAAGAAATTCATATTAATATTATTTTACTTTGTGGTTTTTTTTTTGTAGCTATCATTTATTTTCTCAGCTTTCACTTGACCTACTTTTTTGACAATTTTTTTTTTTTAATTGAATACTATCTACAGACTTCGCATCGAAGCGTTTTTTATGATAGTGATTTTAATCACTGTCAGATATCATCTATACTGGATCCAACTATGCTACGACCCCACTGTGCCGCCACCACACTGTGCTGGGTCTTTTTTATGTATGCAAATAATCATGAAATTCTTATTTAAAATAACTATTTACTTACTTTTGCCGATTGCGTGAAAATTAATACAAAAGGGAACATTTTTTCCCCTTTAACACTTTAATTATATAAATAATACAATATAAATTTGTTTAAAAATATTTAAAGTATTTAAATTTTTAAAAAATCACTATTTGTTCATATAATAGCACGAAAAGAACAATAATCATAAAATCAATTTTCACACTTAAATATCACATACATTTTTTTCCTATATCAAAATATTAGTCTTTTATAAAATTATTATTAGAAATTCATTTTTTGTTATAATACAGTCAACAAATTAAATGAAATTAAAACGGTTTACTCAGCTTGCTACAATTAACATTAGGGTACTTCTTCCGATAGTTTTGTACGGTTTGTACAAACTAAATAATATTTATCACATATTAAAATTATAAATAATTTGTTTTTTACTTGTAGTAAAAACTAATTTTATTCTTCGTCTTTCATTAGTTTAATGTTATAATCCACCTTTGATTTTATATGAAGCTCATCCATATTATTGACAACTATTATTGTAGTAGTCAAACAATTGTAGCAAATAAAAAATAAGACAGAGTAGGTCGATTCATTAAAATAGAAGATTAAGATAAATATCATAAAATCTCTCCTATTGAGGCATATAATTCGAGGGTTTAAAATATAAAAATTAAAAAAGATACTTACAATACATATATAAATACAAATAAACATTTTTATATGACAGTAAATATCAATATTTCACTTTGTGACAGAGACTTATCCTAATGCTAATGTTTTTTGGATAAATATACAGAGTATTCAGTAAGTAAGGAAACAGGTCAATTAATACAAACAATGAGAAAAATAAAAACCCGTTTCGTTTCTTACTAAACACCCTGTATATTCCCATTCCTTAATTAATGCATTGTCGTCAATGTTGCTTGTTTTTATTTATTTATCAAAAGTACTTATTAGTGCAATAGTAACAAAGATTATGGACAATGGAAATTTCTGTAATTAATTACTACCTTTAGGGAACATGAAATACAAAAAATCCATTTCTTTACGTTTTTTTCTATATATTTTGGTATTATAAACCTTTTTTTTTATTATTATTTAAAGTAAAGTAAAAGTAACGCTTTTATGCCAAATGAGTTATAGGAAAACAATTGTGTCAAATTCTTCTTCTTTCTATCATAATATTATTATAAAATGTTGTAGTATTATTTTTAAATTATGGTATATTCCTGAAATATAATCTCCAAATTTTCGTGTGCTATACGATTAATATATATTAGTGATTATATCTTAGAGACGAGCTATGATGTATCATTCAGGGTGTTAGGTAGTTAACAAGAAAGTAGAGTAGAAAATGAGTGTAGCAGAAATGAGAATGCTTAGATGGATGAGTTGAGTGACATGAGAAGATAGGATAAGGAACGAACGTATAAGGAGTATAGATGTAGCGTCAATCGCAGATAAGATAAGAAAAAATAGACATAGATGATCGGTTATGTTATGAGGAAAGAGGAATTGGAAGCTGTAAGAGCAGTTATGAACGTAAATGTTGAAGGAAGAAGAGGTAGAGGAAGACCAAAAAAGAGATGAAGAGATATTATTGAATACGTTATGAGGATGGCTGATGTAAGCGTAGATGATTTTTGGTAATCATGTCAATTGGAAGTTTAGGATAAGGGTGGCCGACCCTAAGTAGTTGGGTTTAAGGTGAGGAAAAAGAAGAAAAAGTGATTATATCTTAGTAACCTTATATTTTTTCCGTTTACTAGTGTTCCGAATCCAGTACATAATTGAATTATTTATTTATTTAATTTTTGAAATGCCCTTAAACATTTTTAATTATTAGAATGTATTGGATAAATGATATTGTGAAATTTGACTAGGATTACTTAAAATAGGTATTTATTTATATTAGAGCTTTACATTGTTTAAAAAATTTGTACAGTTTTTTTCGCAGATTTCACTTTTAAAACGATAAAGAAACATTTTATCTTTATATACTTAATATCATTGCCCCTTTCATTTTTTATAAAACTTAAAGACATTTTTTTTTGTTGTTTGATGAAATAACACAAACAACACACCTCGATAATACCTAATATGTAGTCATCTGAAATTAAGTGAGTGGTATTTGGGGAAAACATATTTTTATTTTAATAAACTACTTGTGATAAAAGGTAAATAGCATATAGAGACATTGTTATCTAATTGAAAATGAGTATTATACATTTCATAATAAACTAGTATTATGGCAAAATGTTCTATCATTAATAAATCAATAAGAAGTTTACAATACAATCAAAAGTATACTATTACATTAAACGCTATTACAAAGGATCAAAAGTGTTTAAGGTCGATTTTAAGTCAATCATCAGAGCTAATTACTATAAGCTATTGATGGACGTATAAGCTGTTTATATATAGTTATTTTATTATCTATAGAAATGTTAAAGCAAGGGAGAAGTCTTATTTTGTAAAGAATCATGTAGGCTATTTAAAATAAAATATTTATATTTTAAAACTAAATTTACATACTAGCTCAAATAACTAAATGGGTTGAAATTATGAACCTTACAATGAAATAATTTTTTTTAAAAATAGTATTTTTTAGCAATAAATATTTTATAAAAAAGTACAATTGTCTTTTAATAACATAATACAATTTCTAATAGTGCTGTTAATTGTTTTAAACAAAATATTCAAAAATGGTCGAAAAAAAATATCACTATAAAAAATAATAGAAGTATTAAATTGGATGAAAATCAGTTTTGAAAATATTATTTAGGCATTGATATGATTCTTTAAGGGGAGAGCTCTTATCGAAAGGTTATTGTACACATTACACAATGTATCTAAAAATTTTATTTAAAGAAAATAGTTAAAGTTTAAAAACTATAATTTACATGAATATTAATTGAAGAGTACAGGGAAAAATTCTAAAAATCTATTTTTTTCAATTTTGAAAATCGAATTTTCAATGGTTAGGTTGGGGGGTTGTCAATGGTCGAGTAATGAATTTTAATCAATAAAAAATGTATTTATATTTCTAATATTTAAGTGTCTTTTTTGTTTTATCATTAAAAATATAAGAATTTATAATTATATTTTTGATCTCCTGAAAAATTTACAGAAATAGACTAAACCCATTTTTTTCTGTTAAACCTTTAACTATGAGTAAATAATATAAAAACCAAAATAATGGATTAGAAATTAATTAAATCATCTAATCTTATGAATCACTCTACAATATTAGTTCAACAAGGACATAGTGTATATTGAATTATTTTTTATTGCCAATTTAATAAATAAACTAATATTTTCAAAAGAAGTGTTCCAGTATTATCTTGATTATAATGTTCCTATACTATACCCAGGAATATTTTTTTAACAACTTTTTATGTATAGTTTGAATTATGTATTTATTTCTCCAGAAAAGAAAAAATAAAAGAATAACTCCTGCAAGTGATTCTAAAGTAAGTACGAAATTAAATTTTTAACATAACACTGCAAAAAAAAAAAAACAAATATATGGTGTTTATAATAGTGTGATACTATTTTTATACAAAATCAACAAGAATTTTACAATGTCTTTTAAAAATGGACACAAAGGTCGAACAGGATATTTTTTTACAGTATTAAAATGAGAGTGTCAACCAGTAGTTAAAAATGGCCTTGGAAATTTGTCAGGAATACAAATTTTAAATTCAATGCACTGTTGGAAGATATACGTTTAGAAGTTTGTCGAAATTCTTTTTTATCATTCCATTCTCTATGTAATGAACGTATTAAAAGACTGGTCGGTTCAAATTATTTAAATTAACAGTTAAACTAAATTCAATATTTTATAAAAAAAAATTATACCTTCATTCACTGCGTACGTAGTTTTTATTAAAAAAATAATGGAAATTCCACCCCATAAATAATATATTTATATAACAAACAATATAATTTTTTTTTTTTAAAATATATATGATTTTTAAATGATTTTTTTTATAATTAGTTTTAAAAATAAAACAGTGCAATCAACAAATAAATGTACAAAACGAATAAAAAATTTTGTATTATCATTAATATTTTTTTCCTAACTTTAAAAGGTATGATGAGTTGTATGATAGGCTAGGAACAAAGAAAGGCGAAAAAGAATTCTATGGACTTGCAAAAGTTAGAGGAAAAAGGTCTAAAGATTATCGCTATGTAAGGTGTATAAAATGTTTTGATAATATGGTGCTATCGAGTGATGATATGAAAAAAGATGGACTAAGTATTCTAAAAAAATACTGAATGAGGAGTTTACGAAAGAGACATTAGAGGATATCTCCTTGAATTAAAGACTGGTAGATTTAATTAGTGAGAAAGAGATATGGGAGACTGTGGCATCAATAAATAAGAATAAAGCAGTAGAACCAGATAAAGTGCTAGTAGAAGTATAGAAAATATTAGGCCATGTTAGTATAAGGTAGTTGAAAAACCTTTTTAATAAACTCTTTTAAAAGGAAAAATTCCAAAAGATTGGAGGAATAATATTGTGGTGTCGATATTTAAAGGTAAAGGAGACAAACAGGAGTGTGGAAATTATAGAGACATAATGCGTATGAAGGCAGAAGTTTATGAGTCATAGTATGAAAATTTGGGAAAAGATAAAAGGATAAGAAATGAGATATTGGTATCTAAAAACCAGTTTGGATCTATACCTGGTAGTTACAATGGAGCCATTAATTGTGTGAGGCAAACTAATAGGAAAGTTTAGGGAAAAGAAGAAAAAGCTGTATATGATACTTATAAATTTGAAGAAAGCGTATGACAGAGTACTATGAAGTTTTTAAGTGGGTATTAATGAGAAAGGGAGTCCCGAATAGGTACATTAATTTAATAGAGGATATGTTCTTATACCAGGGTCAAAAGCTTAGGAGGAGTAACAGAAGATTTTAGGATAAAATTAGGAGTGCATCAGGGTTCTACTTCAAGTCCTTACTTTTTTTCTATACTAAATTTCTATTGAAATTACTAGAAATACAAGGAGAGGTTCCGCGGTGCATATAGTTCGTTGACGATATAGTGTTAATATGATAGAATAAGGTAAAAACAAATCAAAGGTTATAGGTGTCGGATCACCTCTTGAAGATTCGGGATTAAGAATAATTAGGAATAAGACATAGTAAATAGTGTACGAGTTTGACAAAGAGAATACGAGGTAGGTGAAATGAGAAGAGCAGTGCCAATAATCAAGAATATGATTAGAAAGATGGAAAGAGCTAAGTATTTAGGATTAGTTGTCCAAAAGAGTAGCGGTATTGACGAGGATGTAAGACACAGGTTTAAGTGTGTTGAATTGGTAAGAATCATCTAGTGTGTTATGCGACAAGAGAATTCCAATAAGTGTGAAATATAAGTTCTATAAGACTGTAATGAGACCAGGTGATAATGTATGGTCCAGAGTGTAGAGCGGCTGACATGAAAATAGAGTAGATAATAAGTGTAGCAGTGATATGGATTCTTTAGTGAATGAATGGAATGACTAGAGGAGACAGAATAAGGAATGAAAATATAAGAGGGAGTGTAGCGTTAATCGTGAATAAGATGACAGCTAATAGACTTAAATAGTTTGGTCATGTTATGAGGAGAGAGAAATCAGAAGCTGTAAGAACAGTTATAGAAATGAATGTTGAAGGAAGAAGACGTAAAGGAAAATCAAAAAATATATGATAGGATGTAATTGAATGCGATATGAGGACGGCTGATATGAGCGTAGATTATGTGGGTGATCGTGTCAAATAGAAATTTAGGATAAGGGTGGCCGACCCTAAGTAGTTGGGATTAAGGTAAGGAAAAAAAGATGATTCAACATTAAAAGTTGAAAATTGTTCTTCGATATCCTTTACATCACCGAACAATAAAAAATAATTTTAAGAGATTTTAGCAAAAAAATTAATTTTAAATGAAATAAACTTTTTTTAAGCTAGTTAAGTTTAAAAAAAATTTCAACTTATCTTTTAACTTAGCTAATTAAATCTATAATTATTAACTTTTAACTGTTAATTTATCGACATTAATCATACTTAACGTAACTTAACTTGAGTTAATTATTTCCATTAACTTGTCCAATATTGCCTGCTGTTACAAAACTGTAAATAGAAAATGATACTGAATCGTTCCTGATTTCAGAATATCATTATTTAGGAAATCCAGTTAAGTATTTAAAGTCAGAGTCACATACTAAAATAATGTATGATTTACTTAAAATTAATCCCCAAATATAAAAGCTAGCTACAGCTATTATCTAAACTATTTTAAAGAAAATTTCAACTTGAGATTCGGGCAACCACAGGTGGATTTTTGTAGTAAATGTACAAAGCTTAAAGCTAGAATTAAATTACCACATCTTGAAACTGCAAAAAGGACTGATGTAATAGAGTTTATCATTCATAAAAGAAGAACTAACAAATTTTATAGTGCTCTTAAAAATAAAGTAATGATTCCAAAAATAAATTAAATAATAATTATTAAAATAATTAAATAACTTCATAATATTATAGAAATTATGATTTTAATATTTTATAATATTAGTTAACTAATATATTTTTATTAAAAGACTAATTCAACGAACTTACGTTAGTTTATATTATTTTTAAATTACAAAATATTTAAATTTGTTAAAAGGCTATTTATAGAAACATAAATGATTTTAAAAATATTTTTATTCGCATATTATTTAATACATTATTATTTAATCAAAATTGTGCTGATTGTTCTGAATAAGCAAATTTATAAAGAGCAAACAGTATTTTGTAATAATATTTTCTCTTTATAAAAATATGTATAATAAATCAATTTATTTTACAGGCAAAAGATAAGGATTCACTTTTCTACAAAGCTTTACACACCATTGATTTAAATTCTGAAGTAAATTTTATTTTCTTATTATTAATTTCAAGTCAAAGAAAATACTAAAGCTCCTATCGATTCATTTTAAAACTACTTCTAAAATATGAATAAATCACATTTTCATTAGGAAATATTAAAAACTAGTAATCCATTATTAAAAATTTAGTGAATAAATATTTTAAATGACTTTTAATATTAATTCTTGATATCCAACTTTTCATTTAAGCTTAAAATGTCTAAAGTTGATTTTTCATGAATTAGTGACCCAAGATAGACTAAATAAACAATTTGAAGAGAAATCAATATTTTTATTGGCAAATTTAATTTTATAAATTGGAATGTTTATTCAAACAATTAATGAGCAAATAAATAAAAATTTACTTGCATGGAGAGTAACAGTATGTACGGTTAACTTATTGTTATGGTTAATTTTATTCCTGATGTCACTAATAACTTCAAATGAATTTAAAGGGCTTTTTGCAATCGTCTACAAATTTTATAATTTTTACTTTACTAAAATTTTATATCATTTTACTTATTTAATTTTCTATACACGATTATCACATATTTTTAGCGTCCAGTAAATATTAAATATTTAATATAATTAAAAAATGTATATTGAAATACACAAGAATTCTAATTTTAACTTCAATATGAAATTGAAAATGTGTTAATTTTACTATTGTGTGATTTGTGTCTATCGTATACTTCTCTCAGCTTTCACTGGACCGATTCTTTTCAACAATAAATTACAATATCACAAATCGTACTAAATTCAAAAAATATCTTATAAAAAATTTTGAACAAATTTTCCTCATTCTTGATAGATAGGAGAAATCTTCCCAAAAATGAACTTTTGACAGATGTTTGAATCCAACAAATTTTTTTTATAAATTTCTTAAATATGTCTATTTTATTTCATATATACTTTTTGAAAATCTGACCCTTTACCTGTACACAGAGGATTCAAAATAACTACTTTTTCAACATAACTTTTTGAAAAATCGATGAATCAAAACAAATTTTAAAACAGCAATTCTAATTTTTTTTTTAAATTTAATAGACATAAAATTATTTTATGATTATTAATGCGTGACCAATAAAAACGTATGGTCTCTAATACTAACGTAGAATAAAAATTGATACTTCAAATTCTTAAACATCAAAATTTTTTCCTAAGTATTATAGATCTCTACTAAAAATAAACAATATATATATAGTAATATTCCAGTTTCTTAATTAATTCATTAAATAATCTGTATTTAAATATAGATAATATTTTCAGTACCAATATTTGTTGCAAATATAATATAAAAAAAATATTTTAATACTAATGCTCATTAAATATTTTTGTTTAGAATTATATTCAAAAAGTTAGAAACACATTTCTTGAAGAAAAAGTAATTTTTTTTTTATATATAGAAAGTATTTTTATATAGAAAAAGTGCTTAATTACATTAATTGTAAGAACTATAGATTAATAAAAAAATTATTTAGCTTAATAGTGTTAGAACTAAAAATATAAATTTAATTTAAACTAATGTGATATAACGTAAAATAATTTACAGTTAATTTCTATTAAGTATAAGTTAGATTTTAGTTTAAAAACTCAATCAATAATTATTGATTATTATTATTAATTATAATTAATGAGAGACTTATAATACAATATTTAACAAGAAATAGAATTTTTTGTTGGAGATGATTTTTATCGCAATATTTTATTAATCTATATCATAATCTAAAGTTATATTATATGTGTTATTTACAGATAAATGGGATAGCTTATCTATTACTTTTGTCGACATTAGCTGCTTTTCTGGGCTTTACTTACTTATAGTCTCTACTAGTTCTTCAATTCTAAAAGGATCTTTGTACTTATATATTTCATGTTCTTTTAATTTTTTATTTTAACTGTCACCCATTTAATCATTGTCTAGCCATTTAAACTGGCTGACTACTATTTCATTTGATTTCACATTTATATATTCATGTTTCTTTGTCATTTTGCTACTAACTCTTCTGAGTAATTCAGCTTAATAACTATTAATTACCTTCAATTACATTTTTTCATTCTTCTATTTTTGCTATTTAAATATCTTACAGCACTTTCTCATCCAAAGCAATGGTTTATTTTGTGAAAATCTAGAATTCATACATATTGCTGTTGTTGTGCGGGCCCACGTGGTAAAAGGAATTAAACTTAATAATAAAACGAAAACACTCACTTTTCAATAAAAATTTAGAATATATAATTTGATTGACACAATTAATAATACAATACACGTTATTTATTAATAAATTATAAATTATATACTCTACACAATTATAAAATAATATTCAGGGGTTCTTAACACTGTAGTGACGCAAACTTAAACCAGGTACTTAATTATTTTTGCGCTCTGTATGTATATAGTGTCTTAAAATTGTTTTACTAAATTTATAAAGCATAAATAATTTTTCAATTTCAGTTTTATTCCCTTTAATTCCTTATTAAGTAAAATCTTAAATTCATGGCAATAGTTTTTTTGGGGATATATCTTCTTCTTAAAAGTACTTCAAAGGGTTTAATCGCTGTTACTTGGTATCACAATTGGTCAATGATACAATTTTTCGATATGTTTCAGTACACTGTATTGACCCATGTTAAACATGGAGATATTGTCTAGATTATACTATCTACTTCATCTTCCACTTTGAAATGATAAAGGTAGCTTTGATGTGAACGCGTTAAATAAATAGCACTAGGTTATCTCCCTACGCTTTCTTTGTTTTCATTTGTATCTATGTAATCCCAATTCATGCTCCTGATATAAAATTTCCATACTACTATATTGATGGCACCTGGATCAAAATTTTTCAATATTTTTAAATTAAATATCCAACCTGAGGGTTTTTATATTGATATTATAACTTGATACATACTATTATAATGCTATTTACTTTTGAGAATGATGTAGATTTGATTGCTATTTTAAGTCTTGCAAGCACTGCGCTTTATGTTTATTGTCTAATCTTTCTGATACTAGGCGTACAATTTTTCTTAGTTATTCATGATACCTATCATTGTATGATTTTTGCATACACAATATGTCAGATTTATACTCTTTACATAAGTGAGCCATGATTTTCTCATTTTGTCTTGCTAGTCCCTCAATATTTATTGAGATCATAGTTATAGCCGGCCCTTATTTATACCGGGGATTTGCAATAATGTCAGTTTATGATAGAATTAGACGATGAAATTAGGATAAAACCTTTGCGGAAAGTCATTAAATCTCTATTGAATGTATCCATTTTATCTTGTCTTTTCAAAAGGCGCCACGTAGAGGTTTCTATCATTTTCCAAATTACCTCATATAACATAGTAACATATAACGCAACAATCTTTAAATTCAAGATATAAAAAATGAATATTTTTAAATATCATATAACTTTTTTTCAGTACATTATTGACCGATAAAAATGATCATCAAAATGTATTTTGCTTTTCAGAATATTGAAGCTCAACACTCTGAAGAGATTAAAGTGATTATATAATAATCAATATATTTATTTTTATATAATTAAATAAAAATGGATAAAAAAAAATTGTACGGTTGAAAACCAGTAAAAATAATTTTTTTTTTTGAGTTAGTATAATTTTTTAGGGAAACAGTTCTCATTAAAATTGTACACACAGAGCGTTGCCGAACACTATTGAACATATACTAAAATTGAATTATTTATAAAAAATGTAATAAAAAAAAAGTATAAATTTTAAAACTATAACTCACTGTAAAAATGAAAACTTTAAAATAATGTATTAATTAGGTGGTACTAAGAGAGTATAAAGAAACAATTTTTAGAAAAATCTATATTTCAACTTAAAATTTTTTTTTAATTCAAATTTTTATGCTACGAAAACAATTTTTAATTTAGTTATGTTGCTTATATCATTTAGCATATTTAATATTTAGGAAACACTTATCTAACTTCAAAACTACGACTGAAAATTAAAAAAATAAATTAATAATAAGAACAAAATAATGTATTGAGGGTCTAAAAGAATTGAAATAAATAAGTCTTTATTAAAATAAGAACAATGTATATTTATTATTAAATTTTCTTATGTAAATTTATAATATCAATTCATAATTTTGAATCAATAAACTTATTATATCGAAAGTTATTAGTATTTTAAAACAGACTGGGATTGAAGCTGCTATTTTTATCATAAGTCATTTTGCAGTTCACACTACCACCTAACTAGATATATAAACGTGTATGTCATTCGAAGCACTGGTTCAAAAGTTTTTATTGACAACTTATTTCCTTTAATAGATCATTTTATATTTTATAAGTCAGTTAAATACGTATTTTTTTATTTAAAATTAACTTTTATATATTTTTTATTCGGAAATTTTGTAATAAATTGTCAGTTTAGTATAAAATTAAAAGACGATGTTATGATTAATTACAAAAAATACTAAAAATTGCAAACCCATCATAAAGATTTTTTTCATTAGAATTAATTATTTATTTTTCCCTAAAAAATTTATTTTGAATCCAATATTTAATATGCTATACTAAAAAAAATATGGTTTTCCAATATTATTATTAAGGTTTAATAGTTTTTTGTGAAACACGTCATCTTTTCCGATTCACTTGAAACTTTGCGTATCTTAATTTTATAAGCATTTAAAATAATTTAAATTCTATAATTTCAATAAAGTTCAATTTTTATTTAAATAGTAGTATAACGTAATATTTCATAGTACATACCATAAAAAAAGAAATAGTAAATGTAATCTTTTTTTATTTCTTAATACGAGTATCAATAAAAATGTTCGAATAAATAGTCTTCATGTTTTGAAAAAACTGTTTAAAATTTATTTAAACATAATGAATTCTATGCTACTAATTGTAACTAATTTTTTAAACATTCATACATTTTTTAATACAAAATCAAATCAAAGTATTAGATTATTCTTTTAAGGCTAACCACTCAATTTTCTAATCATAATCATTTTCTGAGTTAGATAAACATATTCTAATACATATAAATTTATACATATTTATGTAAATGTGTGTGTATTTGGATGTCTCATTTAATAACACTATAACTAATTACATTTATTTACAGCTAAATACAGATGATGAAATCAGTGATCAAAAATTTAGTGTAAGTTTCATTGTCTTATTATTAGTGTTAAGTCTAAGAAAAATTAAAACTTAATTTTTTTCATAATAATCTTAAAAATAAATAAAAATAAAAACAAATAAATCACGTTTTCACAAAAAAAAATTGATAAAATAATAATAATCTATTATTAAAATTGATAATTTAATAGTTAAATGAATAAAGATTTTACATGACATTTTAGATTAACTTTTCAAAACAAATTGTTTTTTTTTTTTTGTTAAAATAACTAAAAATTAAGCAAAAATAAAGATAAGGCTAAGATAAACTATTTTCAAATGGTTTTAATTAAAATATTTATACTATGAAAATAAATTTCGATTTGGTTTTTCTCTAATATCATTTAGCATATTGTTATGTAAGAAGTACTGATTTTACTTCAAAATAACGGTTACTCGTTAAAAAAAACTTTATTTTATATATATAAAATAAATAACCCAATTTTATAAATTTTTTGATTTTGATTAATTAAACTATAGAGTAAATAAAAATAATTTCACTTGCACGAGAAGCGGCAATCTGTTCAATATGCTTATAGTAGTAATTAAAAAAAAAAATTTTAATCTTCTTTTTCTTTTACCTCGCCTTTATTCCAAGTACTTGTGGTCGGTCATCCTTATCCTAAATTTCCATTTGACACGAACTTCCATAACATTTACGAACACATCAGCCATCCTCATATCGCATTGAATAACATCCCTAAATATCTTTTTTGGTCTTACTACACCTCTTATATATATGATGATCAAAATCTGGTAAGACACTCATTTTCTCAGAAAATATTGAGAATTTAAAATTTGATTACAATGAAAAAATATCATGTTCAAAATCTCTACAATAATATGCAGTCAAACCATTATTATTTTCGCCCCTTCAAAGATAAAAACCCTTATTTATAATTTTATTATAATGGAACCCTTATTTTTAACTTTATAATATGATAGAAAAAAAATTACAAACAACTTTCTTCTTATAATTTTTTTTATCCGATAAACCGTTCGTCCGTTACAGCTTGTTAAAGTTAAGTGACTTTAGGCCAAATTTCTATTGTCATTTTACTGTATTAAACACAGAAGTCATTATTTTTATTTGCTGTTGCATAAACCAAATTTTATTGATCAAGTTATGACAGGTAAATTAGCTATAAAAATTTACTACGCACTAAATGAATGATAACAATAATAGATTCAAACCGGGTTTCCAGTGTATTATTAATAGCTAAGTCTATGGTTTCGTAAGACTAAAGTATCTAACAAAAATACCGGTTGCACTGCCACACAGTGGGACCAAACGCTGATTTAGCCGGCCAAAAGTACCATTTTTAAATCAACTAATAAAAATTTTTTTTTTAGCAAATTTTTTTTATTATATCCTTATAAGGTCATGTACAAAAATTCAAGGCCAAAAATTGATATAGTAATGGTTGGGTGCTATTTAAATATCATAACACTGTATTTTTTTGTTTTTTTTCTAGGATTTTTATTATTTCTTCAATCATTTTTTCCTGCTTAATTAAAAACCTTAATTTTTTTTTTTTTAATTTAAAATGTTTAAAAAGTCATCGGCTTTCAAATTTACTAAGAAAAAATTTTTATTTCTTTTTTTTTTTAATTTTAATAATTTTTTACACACAAAAAAATGCAAATACTTATTTTACATTGTTTTTTAAAGAGTTTAACTCAAAATTACGCAATATTACGATTACACCAATACATGCATGTTGTAGAAGAACTCTTAAGCTACAATTACAAAAAAAAAAATTTTGCGTCAGATTGCATTTGAGCCCTGCACATAGAATTTCCCTATAATAAACGTGTATTTTTGTAAAAATTGTAATTTTAATCATTTCATTGGTTTTATCAGTTCGATCAACTTTATCAGCTTAAAAGTTGTAAAAATTAGATGTAATTAAAACTAATGATTCGTTAAAATTAAGTTTAAATAAAGTTTTTAATAATA